TTTTTGTACAGCATTGATTGAAGTAGCCGGCGAAAACATCGTAGTAGCCGATCGAATGCGCCGGTCGCCGGCTCTTAAATAAACCCCTGATCTAGGAGTTCCATAATCATAAATTTTCTTAGTTGAGCCCTAACCATGGTGGGGCTGAAATGGTATAGACCCTCTATGTGTGAAATACCCTCCCTGGGCCCCCTCTATTTCAAATTCCTGGACCTGGTATTTAGAGAACATGATTGTAATTTTTTTTTTTTTAAATATTTATTTATTTGAACATACAGCAAATTATCAATTCAACAAAACAATCATTCATTGTTACATTTTAAAGATACAAAGCAAATAATAATTAAACAAATAACTAACAAATCACATCACTTCATTTTGTTATATAAATATTGGTTTTTGAGTACTATAGTAAAACAGTTGTTAACAAATATGATAAAGTACACTCATGATTACTAACAACATCAGAATTAACAAAGTTTCAAAACAGTATAGTATAACATCTTTTTTATGAGTTAAATTACTAGTAGTAAATTTTAATCTTATTAAATAATATTAATTACCAGTAGTTGGAATCATAAGTAAATTGAATGATTGTAAATTTGATAACTGCATGCAATTTTGATGAAAGATTTCATAAAGTTGGGGCTGTATGCATAAATGTTTAGGCCTACGATTGCTGTTGGATGTAAAAGAAATACGAATTGTGATTATTTTCTTGTTTATATTTATTATCATCAGCTTTACTGTAGGTGTTTGACTTGACAACAATAACATGCTTTTATTTATCAGGAGCCAGAAGTAGAATATGTTGCAGATGCTGACTTTGAAGAAAGTGATTTGAGTGACTTTGAGGTGCGTATAAGTTTTTGATTAATACATTTCCAGTTGGTTCTTCTTTTCAAAGGCTGACCCACACAGCTTAAAGAACTTGAATATATTGTGCTAAAATAGCTGAAACATATTTGCTTTGAATTAAACATTAAAAAAACACACAGTTATGGCATAGTCATGCCAAACCAGTCACTCCTCAAAAATCCATTTTCAGGTATTAATACAAGGTTGAACAGTGTAATAAAGTTATAAAATGGTAAAAGAATCATTCCAGTTAATAATAATAATAGTAATGTTATATTTATATAGCGCATATTGCACATTGCCCCTGTGCGCTTTACAGAGAAATAATATAGGCCAACTGAGAAAAAGCAAATGACAATAAAATAATAACAATAAAATAAAATATAAATAATCATAATAACAATAATAACTATGAGACTAAACTACTCCTATTCCTTAAACTAATTAATGGTTGGCTGTTGACTCCGAGGAGCTCATCCGCCCTTTGTTCAGCTATTGGTTTTTCTTGCTGCTGGGTGACCATAAACACCCTCCCCTCAGCAGCCACTAAGACATATTTGAAAGGGTTGTCAGTTTAGTCGCCGACGCTTCAACCGGATGGATTTTAATGTCGTTATGAAGTTGCAGGAGTACAGCTGTTTAAAGAATGTATTCGAGAAATCAGCCTTAAAAGCTTACGATTTCGGACATTTTTTCAGGCAGAGACCATCACCAAATCATAAACAATTTTTGAACGTTGAAAATGGGGGAAAAAACCAACATAGCATGATGTATAGATATATTACGTTTAGTTGAGTACATAAAATACATTTTGAATATTTTGACATTCACATGTTTTAGCCATTAGCTCCAAAACCAGATCTATGTAGAGTGACTGGTTTGACTTCACTGCAATTATATTAAATTTTTCAAATAACATGTGCATAAAGATATCATTGAATTTTTGCATAGACCTTTAAATTTGCTGGTAATAAATATTCAAATCTCTACTACAGAAATATTAATAAATATTAAATTTCTATAGTAGAAAAATGTAAAATAGCAAAAATAATGAATTGTTTCATTTGTAGTTGATAACTTTAAAACTTATGTACATTGATAAGAGTTATTCAGGTGTAATCAGAGAGGAACTGTAATCTAACACAATGCTTCCCAAACCTATTTCCCAGGGACCCACTTTGGCAGTCAGACTTACACTGGCGACCCACCTTGTCAGAAACAAGAAGTTATACTCAAGTTTTTATATATATATATATATATATATATATATATATATAAGATGTGTATAAG